TATGTTTACATTTCTGTTATCTTCAGTACCATCCTACCCGACCAGCCCAGGAGTGTATCCCAGTGTCCGCAGCCCGGTCATCTTCACATCATATCCATCACTGACTGTGTACACCTCCGAAGCTCGACACCTGGTCCCTACATTACTCCACTGTTCATTTCTTGTCACTTATTATCACTGTAAATAAACTAGCACTGTCTGCATCGAAGTCAGCCACCTGGGTCTGTCTATTTTTTGTGACTCACTCACTTCTGTGTTCGAGTCACCCTAGCAATGTCGATCGGTTCGACCTAAAACCATATTGGCAATCCGAGAGGATTTTATGTCTATCAATAAATGTGTCTAATCTGTTATTAAAGCGTTTTTCCAAGATTTTTGAAAATTGTGACAACAGAGAAACCGGTCTATAATTTGTGAAGTTGTGCTTATCCCCAGATTTATACAGTGGAATAACCTTTGCTATTTTCATATTATTGGGGAACTGCCCAAGTCGAAACGACATGTTAAAAACATGGGTTAATGGTTTGCATATCCCCTCAATTGCCCATTTAGCCATTGTTATAGTGATAGGGGTAGATACTCTTGCTGGTACTGTTTCTAATCAATTTATTTAATATATTCCAAGTACCTTTCATGTTATTTTTATTATCTTCTAATACTTTAGAGTAATATTGTTTCTTACATATCCTCAATAACGCAATTAATTTGTTCTTATGTCCTGAGAGTTGCACTGCCACTTTACTTTAGCATCAGGCTTCTCGGTCTCTGCTTCAAAGACCACAAAGGACCCCTCCTGCACCTCCTGAGTCTTTGGTTTCTTGGCAAATGCTGAAACTGAAGAGGGAGGGTAGGTTCAAAATAAAAACTAAGCCCTTTGAAGTGTCAGGTTGTTTTTTTAGCAAGGCTGTTGTTAGGATGAGATCAAATCATTTTGAGGAGAAAACAAATACTATAATATTAATATAATATTATAGAATATAAATAACATGTAACAGTAAGCTCCAAGTAATAACAGACATAAAACACAGTTTATGTTTTGTTTCTTCGGAACTCAGCCATCAAAGTTTTCATCCATTTAAAAGCACATACCTGAAGAAAGAACAACACATACTGTACAAATACTTTAACAAACTGCAAAGTGAGAGAAAAAGAAAGGGGCGTCCGGTGGCTTCATGGTTAAGGTGTATGCCATAGTTCATTTCCTTTCTCTCTCTCAGCTATCAAAGGTGAAATGCCCAAAAATAATCTTAAAACACAGAGATATTGACAATGGGCCATCCTCCCACAAGGACGCTGCCAGATTGTTCTAGACCCCAGCTCTGACTTTCCAGCTTTCCTTCGATTTTGGTATCTTGTGTTTCTGACCCGGACTGCTTCCTTGGATTATTCTGTTCTGCCTTGCCCTCTTATTTCGGACTGCTTCAGTGTATCGGCTTAACGGACTTATCTTTGGACAACGTGTTTTGATTTGATTTGATTTGATTTGATTTATTCTTTCAAGCATGTAAAAACAGTTGATATGACAACACACATAATTTTACACATAATCCAATATCAATTTGCTTATACCTAGTACATGCTTGAATGGAGTAGGAAGAAGTCAGACTTATCCAGTCCTACCCCATGACATCATCTTACCATCATTGGTTTGCAAGCAGTAAATGATTCACTTCTACACACACACA